AAGTTCAATTGTTGTATTTGTTACTGCAGATAATGTTCTAACAAATAATTCACTCTGAAACATATTTGTATAACATGCTTTAATTGTAGTAATAGACATTCCCATATTTCTCATTTGTTCAATTCCATATGCAAAGGCAAATACAATTCCTTCTTGTGATGCTCGAATAAGATGTTGTTTTGTATGAACATTAAAATTTAAATGTTCAATAGAACATCCAATAGAACTATTTTGTAACATTCTTTCACTGCCATTACCAAATGGGAGAATAACAAGACCATCACTTCCAATAGGAACTTGTTCAGCTAATTCATCCATTATATTATAATCACTATCAAGTAATTTCTTAATAAATGAATATAAACATCCAGTTCCATTAATACATAATAATATTCCATTTCTAGGTTGAAATTGGGAATTATTTACATGAATAAATGTATTAATTCTTGATAATTCATCATATAATGGAAGCTCTGTTATACCATAAACTACTCCTGATGTTCCTGCTGTAGATACAATTTCCCCTGGATTTAATACACCTAATGAAAAAGCATTATTTGGTTGATCCCCTGCTCTATAAGTAATAGGAATATCCTCAACCAATCCAAGTTCATTTGCAATTTCTTTTATTAATTTACCTTGAACACCAAACGTAGGAACAACATCTCCAAGTTGGTCATTTCTTAATCCTAACCAATTCATCATTTCAGTAGATATTTCTTGTCTTTTATAATCCCACAACATACATTCTGATAATCCAGATTGTGTTGTAGTTGGTTTACCAGTCATTCTAAAAGCAATATAATCACCAGGAAGTAATACTTTATAAATACGATTAAAAATCTCTGGTTCATGTTCTTTTATCCATGCTAATTTTGTTGCTGTAAAGTTCCCAGGAAGATTTAACAAATGTTTTAAACAAAAATCATGTCCAAGTTTTTGTTCTGCGTCATAGCCATATGACACACCTCTTGAATCACACCAAATAATTGCATCACGTAATACTTTTCCTTGAGAATCAATTAAAACAATTCCATGCATTTGATAAGATATACCAATTGAAGCAATATTGGAAATTGAAAGTCCATGTTCCTTTATAAAATAAACAATTTGTTGAGTAACTTGTTGAATATTTTTCCACCATTCTTCTACATTTTGTTCAGCAAATCCATCTTCTTTTGATAAAATTTTCATTTCCTTTTTAGGATAATAATCAGTAATTAAAGATGTTCCACTTTCTATATCAACTAATGACCCTTTTATTGATGAACTGCCAATATCATATCCAATACTTAATTTCATCTCAAATTCAATTTTTTTAGATACTTTTCTTATTGGTTCCATTAAAAAAAACTCTGAAAAATTAATGTGTTATTAAGATAATAACTATTTATTATTATTATTTTTAATTAAATGCTCTTTATCGTTATTTCCTTCTTTTGTAAAATTATCTTGGAAGTCATTTGAAAGTCTTTATTTTTTTAGAAGAATTATTCCTTTTACAATACACGTCAAACTATTCCTATAAAATATATTTTTAGATAAAAATACTTTCAAAGAAAAAGAAAAACCACTAAATATAAACTCAAAATATGGAAAATACTTTTGTAATATATTTTTTAATATCTTATTTATCAATTTTTTTTTTAAAAAACTGTAGTTGATGTGAAAAACATGAATTGTTGTCAATAATAGTATGAAAAATAATAGTATTATTAGAATAAAATTATAATAAAAAAGAGTTTTTTATGTGTTATTAAGATATACTTATTTTTTAAGATTACATAAAAATTCATTTCAAATGATTGTGTTGATACTCCTTCAATTATTTTGGACTGGTTTTAGTCAGTATAATTGCTCTATTGGATGTGGCAGTTCTTCAAATTGTATTGCAGAATATACATGTCCTTTATGCTTAGAAGGGTATGAACAAGATGGGTCATGTCTTTATTGTGATAATGATAATCTTGATTCAACATCAACAACTCTTAATGTAATGACTGTAAATGGATGTGAAAAACGGTCGTTAGTACATGATGGTGATAATATACCAACAAATGTAATAGAGTTAAAATTAGATGAAATTTATACTTATGTTTTTAGTCAAGATAAACCATATAGAAAATCCCCTTGTGGGAATGGAGGTTATGTTCAAGGATTTTGGGTTAAATTTGATTCTAAGGAAATGGAGAATGATACTATTTATTTGGATTTTTTAGTAACTGACCTTAATGACGAAGAAGATTCAGTTGACTATACTATGACTATTAATATTATTTCTCAACATCATGGAAATAAATTATGTGTTGGACAGTCGAGTTTAGGTAGTGTACTTTATCCTCATTTTCAAATGCCAAAACAAATGTTTATGAATGATGATACAGTCTATTATTATTTCTTCTCTTTAACAGAAGAAGTTGATTTAAAATTTTCGTTTTGTTTTACTGAAAGTGAAACAGAACGAGTAAGGTATTATATTTCAGGAGATAATCTTGAAATGCTTGCTGAAGTTAAACGAACTGGAACTGTTGAATTACCATTAGCATCTGAAGGATATTTTGGATATCCAGTGTGTATGCCACATATTTTTGGTAAAATGATTGATTTAGAATATGAATTTAATATTAGTGCAGTAATGTTAATGACAACCAAACGACAAAATAGAATACTTTATGTTGAAGAATATGAATGGGATGAAAATGATGATAAGCAGTGTGTTCAATTTTGGAATTATGTTACCGTAAATGGAAATATTGGAATTTTTCTTCTTGTTCAACCATCACATAGAGTTAGAAAATTTACTTTTATTACTCAAGAACATAATTTGGATATATATGTATCTTTAAGAGTTATTTGTCCAAATAATTGTCATAATGATATTGGAAATGGATATTGTTCAATATCTGAAGAAAAATGTATTTGTAAAGAAGGATATGGTGGAAGTGATTGTCATTTATTATGTTATTATAATAATCAATGGCAACCAAGTACTAATAAAGGAGATAATCAATGTTATTTTGGAAGTTCTTATTGTTCTGAAACTTGTTCATGTGAAGATGGATATATATTAGTTAATCATCGATGTGTTTCTTATAATTGTACGTCAAGAATTAAAGATAAAACAATAGAATGTTTTGATGGTGACATAAATTGTGATATAGATTGTAAATGTAAATCAGGATATAAATTATTTAATGAAAAATGTATTCTTGAAACATGTGGAAATGGTATGAGAGATGAAGGAGAAGATTGTGATGGAGGAGAATATTGTAATGAATTTTGTAAGTGTCAAAGTAATAAATATATTCCATCTTCTCATATTCAACAATCATGTCAACCAAAAATATCATCAGGAACAATTGCAGGAATAGTTTGTGGGTGTTGTGTTGTTTTATTAATTATAGTTCTCATAATCATTGTATTTATTATTTATAAATTCTCACATTCTATTCAATTACTTCTTAATGATGATATATGGAAAAGTCAACAACCTCCATATTATATGTATATTAGTGGATCAAAAAGATATTCGCCTGAATTAAGTAAAAGTCTTAAATTTTCAATTACACCATTAAGTCTTGATTTTGGTCGTTCAGAAATTCCAACAGAAATATTTGAAACAAGATATCAAGAAATACATGTAAAGAATTTATCAAAAAGGAAAGACATGATGATTATTTTTCATACTCCAAATAATCCTAAATATGTTTTTCATTTTAATCCTCAAGTAAAAATTCTTGGTCCAAGAAGAAGTACAGATATTGTTGTTTTTATGACTCTTCATTGTACTACAAAAATAAAAAATGTATGTATCCCTTATACTGTTTGGTTTAGTAAATCAAGAAGGTATCTTAATAAAATTGCTGAGTTATTAAAAGAAAAAACATTTAATGATTGGAGTCAAAGTGATCAATTACAAATGGAAAAAGAATTAAAAAATATTCCTCTTCATTGTCATGGTAATTTTGTTATTGCTACTGAAGCTGCATGTTCTACTCATATTGATATGGATGAATTAAATATATCAGAAGAACCAATTGCTGAAGGAGCAATGGGAAAAGTATATATTGGAGAATATCGTAGTGTTCCAGTAGCAATTAAAGTTTTTAGATGGGAGAACTTAACAGAAGAAGAAATGAATGATTTAAAGAATGAAGTAATAAATGAATGTGAAGTAATGAGTAAATTAAGAAATCCATTTATTGCAAATTATATAGGATCAATAACATATATACCACAAATATCAATGGTTACACAATTTTTTGTTTTAGGATCATTAGGTGAATATTTAAGAAAAAATAAACCAAATTACCTTAGATTACCATATAAATTAAAAATTAGAATGTTATTTGATACTGCAAGAGGAATGCAATTTTTACATGAAAATAGAATTATGCATTTAGATCTTAAACCTGATAATCTTTTAGTTAATTCTTTATATACAGATTCAAGTTGTTGTATTAAAATTACAGATTTTGGTACTTCAAGATTTAATAAAAAAGCTAATAATTTAACAGATAAAGGACTTGGTACTCCAATTTATCTAGCACCAGAATGTTATCATGATCATTATACATTTGCAGGAGATGTTTATTCATTTGCAATTACTGCATGGGAAATATTTTATCAAGACGAACCTTATAAAGACTTTAAATCTTTATTTGATATTAAAAGATTTGTTGAAAATGGAGAAAGACTTAAAATTGATATAAAAATGCCACAACCATTAAAAATTTTAATTACCGAATGTTGGGCACACTCATTTGAAGACCGTCCTCAATTTTCTGAAGTTTGTGATAAAATGGTAAATGTTATTGAGAATGTTGGTGAACATGTAGAATTAGATGAAGGAATTGACATGAATGATATAGAACAATTTATACAACAAAGAACAGAAAAATTTGAATTATTTAAATCAAATTTATAATTAAATTCATTTATATTGAAGAGAATTATTTTTATTATTATGAATTAATATATTTACAATAAAATAAAATCAATTAACTCAATTTAAGAATTATAATTTGATGTATTTCAAATTTATTAATAGAAGAAGAAATATTAAATAAATCATTATCATTCATTTCTTTATATAATTCAGATAATCTTGAAACACAACATCTTTTATTTTTCGTTTTTGCTATATGAATAAAACCAATTCTATTTCCAAGAGTAAATAATGAACAATTATTATCATGAAGAGAAAATGAAATAATCATGTTATCTTTTAATTGATACTTTTTTTTCGTTTTTGTTGAATAAATAAAATGTGTTTGATTTGTTATTTGGTTAAATTCTTTTTTTATTATTTTATCTTCAATATAAATACAAACCCATTCTTTTTCTTTTGTTTGTAAATTAATTAACAAACTCTTTTGATTTATTACTATTTCATTAAAATTTTTATTTGTTTCTTTCATTGTTTTTGATGAAAATATCATTTCCCATTCACTTTTTTCTGACATTTCTTGAATAATAGTAATTAAAATATCATCTACTTGTTGTTCATCATCAATACCATTCTGTTTATCTTTTTCTTTCTTAAATCTATTTATTATAAAATCTTCATTTTCTTTTCCATTAAATGTATTTTTTTTATAAAAGCATAACATTCCTTGAATATCAATTTCATTTTCTATGTCTTGATGTGAAATAAATTTTATAAATGAATTATAAACAGTATCATCCTCAATATTAATTGTTTCAATATCAATTGAACTTAATTGTATTATAGGAACACCTATTTTAATAATATCTCTTCCATTTACATTAACTTTACATATAATTTCTCCACTTTTATTAAATAATATAATAATATTATTGTCTTCAGTTAATCGATACATTTTACAATTCATTTCTTCTTTTGTTTCATCATAAAGAGAAAATAAAGTACATTGTACATCATGTATTTCATTATAATAATTAAGTTTATTCATCCCTTCTATTTCAAACCCAATCACATTACCATAGCCATCAAATATAACAATACATAATGATATTTCAATTTCTAAATGTGATATTATTTCGTTTTGTATTGTCAAAAGATAATTTTCTTTTACTTCAATCATATCCCATCCTTCTCCAAACATTTGTTCAATCCATCTACATTTTGCTACTTCATTAATTTGTTTATCAGCAAGTATTCTTCTTTTATTCTGTATTTCTATTAAACCTGTATCTACTTGAGGAGTATCTTTATGTTCTTCAAATAAAATACTTGTTGTATTTGTTTCACATTCCATTGGAATAATTTCTTTATTATCTTTTGTTTCTGTTAATTTTGGAATGTTATCATTTTGTAACTGACTTCTAATAACAGTATTTTGTTCTTGAATATTATATATTTCATATTTTCTTTCTAATACTTTTATTTGATTTTTAAGATCACTGATTTGTTGTATTAACTCATCAATAAGACTTTTTACTTCTCTTGAGAGTTTTGCCTTTAACTCTTTATTTTCTACTTGCTCAATTAATTCATTAACTGGTTGTTTAATTGCTTCTATTACCTTTTTTTTTTCATTATAATTTTCAAATATTTGAAACCGTTTTTGGTCATGACTCATTTTTTTTGGTAAAATATTAAATGAAGGTAAAACCCGTTTTACTCCTTCTGTCATTGAATGTAGAAACACTATTTTTTCTATTTAAAAAAATTATAATAAATTAAATAATAAACTTTATTATTGATTATAGTATTACATTGAATTACCACCTAACACACAAGTATACACAATTTCTCCTAACCTAATCTTTATCGTTGCTGGTTTAAAACTCACTAAACATTTATCAAAAGACAGTAATTCATATGGCTCTTTTAAATGTTCAGTTCGATACATTAATGAAGAATGAATTTTACGTTCTTCATAATACTTTTCTAAATTAAATGACATCATTACCGTATCAAGTAAATCAATCAATGAAAGAATTTCTGGAGAAGTTACTTGTATTGATAAAAATTCTGTGTTTTGTTCAGGGTTTAATAATAATTCTAATTGACCAAAGGTGATAGTAAAAGTTGGAAATCTTTTTATTTTTTTTCTTACCTCTTGAACAAATAAAGGAATTTGATGTTCACGTAAACTGAATTCTTTTGTTAAAGAAATATGAAGTGACTGAATAGGTTTAAAGTCTTGACTAAATTGATTTGTTTCTTCCATTATTTTATTTTTTATTTCTATTGGAATTTCAATATATACACTCCCAGGATATTCTCCAATCTTATGAGGTCGTTGTTGAATCCTTCCAATATCAACTTCCTTTTTTTCATGTGATCTCATTGGAAGGAAACGTGATTCAAGTTCATTTAATAGTTGGAATAAATCATTAGTATCTGTTAGACTAACTGCTTTTTGTGTTGATGTCTCTTCGTGGTCAGTCATATGTTGAAGAATAAGATCTTCAATAAGAAAAAGTAATCAAAAAATAAATCTCAAAAAGAAAGAAAAGGAAAGAAACAATGTTTTATAGTTAAAGTAAATTATAAAATAATAAAAAAATAAAAAGGGCAACTCAAAAACAAAAGAATTCATTTACTTAAGAAAATGCCTAAAACAAGTAAAAAAACTTATCGTGAACAACGAGCAGCAAAAAAAGCAGCTAAAGAATGCAAAGCAATTAAACTTCAAAACGAAGAAAATGAATATAAAAAATTACCAAAATCTTTTGTTATAAGAAGAGGAAAAATAGGAAAATCAAGTAAGGCATTAGTTCAAGACACAAGATTTGTTATGCTTCCATTAACTGCTATTAATTTACAAGAACGACCATCAAATACATTAAGTGACTTAAAATTTGCAGCAATGGAAATGTGTGTTTCACATATGTTGATTTATTCCAATTCAGCAAGTGGACTTCATTTAAGAATTGGTAAATTACCAAGAGGTCCTACTTGTTTATTTAAGGTAGAAGAATATACATTAAGAAAGGATATTCAAAAGAGTTCAGGAATTATGTATCCACCAAATTCACCAGAAATGACAACATCTCCATTACTTATTTTGAATGGATTTAATCAAGGTGGTGAACAATTAAAAACACTAAGAATTGTTTTACAACAATTATTCCCACCAATTCAAGCATCAGTTGCTAAAATAAAAAAATACAGAAGAGCTTTATTATTTAATTACGATAAAGAAACTGATATGGTAGAATTAAGACATTATGTTATTCGTGTTAGAGATTCTAAGAGAGAAGATATTGAAGGAAATAATGAAGATGAAGAAAAAGAAGAAAAAGTTGTTTTACCTGTAAATAAAATGGGTAAAGAAAATATTGAAAAACAAAAGAGTTATGTTAAATTAATTGATATTGGTCCAAGACTAAAATTACATTTATTATCTATTAACAGTGATTTCATGAAAGGTAAATGCTTATATAGATTATATGATTATGATGATGATGAGGCTTGGATGAAAGAAAACACTGAAAAAGTAAAACAAGCCGATCAGCAAAGAAGTGAAAATATACAAAAATTAAAAGAAGAACAAAAGAAGAAAAAAGAGCAACGTATGAAAATGGAAAAAGAACAACAAGAAGATGATGAAGATGATGCTGATGACCAATTTTATTTTGATGAAGAATTAGAAAAAATGGAAGAAGAGGATTAACTTAACCAACAAAATATATTTTTTCCCCTTCACTTTAATGAATTGATTATTTTAGATTGGTACTAAATAATTTTGTGTTATATGTTCATTTCAAATTGAAACAATAAAACTCACTGAATTTTTACATAAGTTATTCATTTTAAAGTTATTAACTTTAATTAACACATTTTGAAGACATGAAAAATAAAATAAAGTTCATCATTTCAATAAAAGAATCAACTATAACGATTCTATTTAGTTTTATTGTATTTTAGTTGTTTGTATAATTCTCTTCTTCGTTTAATTCAATAAAAAGAATCAACATAATAAATGAACTTTAATAACCTAAGAAGTTTATCAAAACAATTGGTTATCACTACGAAATAAATAACAAAGAATCAAAGAAAAACCTTGCATATTATTTGTAAAAAAAGAATATAACAATAAACTTTTTGAGATAAGAAATGTGGAACCACCTCATATCGATAAAGTTCCACATCATATAGAACAAAAAATTCATAACATTGTAATATCTAATTATTTTAATATGAATTATCAAGAACATGAAGAATATGGGAAATTGAATATTGTGTCGTTAGTAAGAATAATTCCTTATTTAAGTCATTACAGAGAGGTATTTACATTTATCCAAATTAATAAAAAGTTTATGTCAACTTTAAAAGAAGTTGAGATTAGTCCAAATTATCCACCACCCCCTTCTCCATTAGAATATCCTCGTAATGTGTTTTTTCAACAAAAAGCATTTTTAAAGGAATTAGATATATTTCAAAAATTAAAGATATTTGAATTATATGGAAATTCTTCTCAAATGCAATTGGTTATGAGCAATAATCATAATGTAAAACTAGCTATCAAAAATTTTAACATTAGCAATGACTTAGATGAAATAGAAAAATCAGATAAAAATCGTTTTATTGAAATACGATATGATGGAGAAGATCCTATTAAATTAATCAGTTTCAAATCACTTCAACGAGCAACTATAATACTTCAAGGAGAAAATAAAGTTAAACAATATTTATTTAAAAAACATCAATTAAATTATGTTAGATTGATATTTCATAATTCTATTGATATGGACTTCATTAATTCACTTCAACTTTATCATGTTTCAACTTTAGTTATTCAAAGTAATTCTATTGATGAATTACAACAAGTTCTTTATCTTCAAAAACTAACAGAAGTTAATTTTAATCTTATTTTTTGTAGTGAAAAAGATATCTCTTCTTTGAACAATCCTTATCATCTTCATTTACTTCAAATTCAAAAGAAACAAAATGACCAAATTATAAAAAAACAACCATCTCCTTATATTCAAATTGATGGATCAAAAAATATAAAGAGTATTGAACTTCTTCAAAAATATATTTCCATTAAACATTATCACTTTAAAGATAATGCCTCTATTAGAAACTATAAAGAAATAAAACATCTAATCTTAGATGATTGTGTCATTGATACTTCAGTTGATATTGACGATTTTTATCCACCACAATTAGAAGAACTAACTTGCAATGATGATTTTCTTCCATTTAATAGTTCAATAATAAAACTAACACTTCAAAGACATAATGGTAAATTAAATCTTTCACGATTCTCTCAATTAGAATATTTAATATTGGAGGAATGTACTTTTGACCCTAAAGACACTCACCCACTACAATTACCACGAACTTGTCGTATTTTACACATCAAATCATTAATAAAAACAGAGTCTTTAGATCTTTCATTGTTACGTGATATTGATGAATTAATTGTAGAAAAACTGTATCAAAGTCAAATTACATTACCAACATTTCTTTCTAATTTGATTATCCTTCAATCTCGTTGTTTTGCTCTTACAAATGCAGAATCAATTCATCTTCATAACCTAGCATTACTTCAGTCAGAACTTATCTTCTTTGATATAAATAAAGTAGCAGAAAATCTTGACTGTTTAGTATTTAATTAATAAAAAGCAAAAAATTAGTGAATTAATACTTATTTGGTCGAAATGTCACTTGGCTTAATTGACTTCATATTATTTAAGACTGCAACAACTTCATCTTTTGGAATTACCCCAATTTGACCTTGTTTAATAAATGATTCAAGACAAGGAAGAGTTTGTTTAAACATCTCGTCTTCATCAGCACTAATATTAAATTTAAAAGTCTTGAGTTTATTTAATTCATCTAGAGCTTCTGTAAACTTATTTTGTTCCACTAATTGAGAAATAACATTTAATGTTGTTGAAATTACTACTTTAACATCTTGACTTCCAATAGTTTCGACTAAATCTATTGAACCTTCAATAACAGCTTTCATTTCTGATCCATTAGGTGCTTTGTATTTCATAACAACTTGAACTTTAAGAGAAGGCATATTTTTAATCACACCAGGATTAGTAACAGTATATCTGATTGGAATTGCTTCTGAAGAAGAAACTATATGCATTGAATTTACTCCTTTGTCTAATTCAATTCCTTTTGGATGTTTATAAGTAAATTCAACATCATATCCTAAATTCTCTCTTTTCATAGCAGCATCAACTCCTTTTTTGATATTGTCTAATCTAACTGAACTAACACGACCTTTAGTTGTAGTTGCAATATTAGAGAATGAACCAATAAATGAGTCACAATCTTCAAAGAAAAACAAATTCACAACAGTTGACCCATGTTGTGATTGTAAAACTTGAATGATTTTATTAACACTATCAGTACCAAGCCCTTTATTCTGCATCCCATCAGTACAAAACAAAACATCACCACCTGTCCTTATTGCTAACAATATAGAAATCCATAACCCTGAAATTGAAGCTGTTCTTCCATTAGTGTTTATTGAATCTATTTTTTCCATTAAACTTTTTAAACTTTCAGAAATTGGATGAATGGTAGGATAATTCTTTATTTTCTTTTCAATAGCATCAAAAGATAAATCTGAGTCAATTTGAACAATATCGGACATTCCATCTCCAATAATAAAACAATCACTTTCAAATAAAACAATAGCAACCTTGTCTTGTGGACGTGAAAGAACTAATTCTTGGATCTTTTTTTTAATTGTTGATTGAATACTATAAATTCTATTACCTTCCATAGAACCAGAAATGTCAATACAATAGACATGGGTTTTTATATCAGTGGTTTGTTTTCCAGAAGTTAGTTTGAATAAACCAAAGCCATTATTTAAAGGAGTAACAGAAGAAGATGTCTTACCACAAAATGGGCAAGGAGAAGAAGTAAGAACAGCTCCACATGAACAATAACTAATTTTTCCTTTTGACACTGGCTGCTTTAAGTTTTCAGGGTCAAAAGAAAAAGAGAATTTAAATCCTTTAGTAATCTTAGTCTTAGCTAATTCCTTTTCACTTGCCTCCATCTTATATTTTTTATTAGTTCTCAGGAAAACAATTAATGATGTTAATATTTTTTTTTTAAATTAATTAAAAATTAATAAATAATGAGCACTTTTTGAGATAGAGTTGATTTTTTAAGTTTTAAATCTACTGAATAACCATACTTGCTGTGAACAAGAATACCTATATTCAAAAGCATAATGTATGTAAAAGGGCTTGTAAAGATTAAAGAAACAGCAGTAGTAAATAAAGCCATTCTTGTGAAAACTCCAAGGAGGAAAGCAAGAACTCCAAAACACATATTTGCTTGGGTTTGACATTGCATATTATACAAAGCAACTCCATAACAACAATACCATGTTAATATAATTAAGAAACAAATGATGGCAATTCTTGTTGAATGGAAATGGGCTGAACGAGGTCCAACAAGAACGGTTTTAAAAGTTATGTAAACAGGTTCTCCCATTCCTATGTCTCCAATTACAATATAGCCAGAGTGTATATACAATAAAATACCAATAAATAATAACAAATAAGAAAGTGGCATCTTTCTATACTTTCGAATGAATGTGAATGGAACAAACCGAGTCAAATAAATTAATGGCTTGAATCTAAACAATAATCCAGCAATTATACAACATACCACTAATCTGATTTCTATAAAAAGTAAGACAATATTTGTAAGAATAAAAAAAGAAAGAGTCAAAATATATTTTCTGTGATTAAATGTTTCTTTCATTTCTTGTTCATCTTCTTGAATAGAGTCATCTTCAAATAAAACAAGAAGTTTTGCTTTATAAATTTTTTGATGAGTTAAGTAATATTCTTGAGCATCACATTGATATAAACGAATATCTTTATCATTTTGATCCATTTGACAATATTCTTCTCCATTAATATACAATTTAACAAGTTTTACTTTTTGTAATGAAAAAACAATTCCTTCAAACTTAGAATAAGACTCAAGTGTTTCAAATGCAGAATTATGATTATAATACTTTTGTGCTGTAGGTTTTAATAATAAAACTGTATCTTTGTAAATATATAAATCTTTGTCATAAATAAATCCATCCTTAAATACATAGATATGAACAACATTATTTTCCATAGTTGGACATTCAACTTCTCTAATCCCACCTTTATGATAAACATGTAAATTTTTTTGATGATAATGACCACTCCAATACATCGAAAAAGGAAGATTATCATTGAAGTCTTTTCTAAGACAATTAAGTAGAGTATCATTTTCTTCAACAACAACTGAATTAATTGGGTAATGTCCAGCAAGGATTGTATGAGTTGTTTTTCGTTCAGTTAGTTTTTGTTTTAATATATTATATAATGAAATATTGACTATTCCTTCTCCATCAACAGGTAAAGAAGTTTCTTGAAACATATCGATTAAAATAACTCTAATAGTTTGGTTATCTTTAGTAATATCCCGGACAATCAATTTTTGATCTCCAGAAATTAGATAATCTTTAGCATAGTTTTTTTCTTCAACACCATATATCATTCCATCACTGTCATGATTTCCACGAATATCAATCCAATGATCAGAAAGACATTTAGGTACTCCATTTAATGGCTCATTTTCTGATTGATTAAAATTATTACTATTACAAAAATATCTTTTACATACATTGTCTACTCTAGTTCTATAACCTTCCCACTCTTCTCGGTGTTGCATTGGATAGTTTGTAGCAGCAATTTTTTGACCTTTCGTGATATCTCCAGTAACAACAACAAGTTCAGGTTTTGTTTTCTTTAAGGTTGAACTACAAAATTTATTCATCCTTTTAATTGCATGACTAATCCACCATTTAGAAAAGTGAGGGTCTGAAACTTGAACTATTGTAAAAAAAGTGTTGGATTGTTTTACTATTGTTGGGGTTGGATAAATTTCAGGTGGGAGAGCTGGATAAAACACATAAAGAATAATACCAAACAACGTTATCCAAACAATAATAAACAAAATAACATCGATAATCATAAAGATAGATTCGAAACGTTTCATAATTTTTTTTGCTTTTATAATTCCTTAAGTTAAGACTGCCATTCGTGAATGTTGAAATCCTCAAAGGTTCTTTTAAACACTAAAAACAAAAGTAAGAAGAAAAGAATAATAGACTATTCATTTCGAGTGAATAGAAAAAAAAATCCAGAAAATGAATCTAAAAAGGAAGATAAAAGAAGGAGAAAAAAAGTACGTTGAAACGAATAAAAAAAATGTAAAAAGTTATGAAGAACAGAGGAAAGAAAAGAAATAGATAAAATAAAGGGAATTACTTTTTGAATAAGAAATGACTGAACTAGCAACTTGATAAATCAGTATTATTAACATTAATAAATCAATGAGTAAACCAGTGTTTAATAATACTGACTCAACACCTATTTCTAAAGATTCACAAGGAAAACCATTACAATTATGTTTATGTCCATTATGTATTAATGGAATTCCTAATTATAATGATACTAAAACAGATTTAATTTCATGGATTTATATCATCAGAATCATCCTTTTTTCATTAACAAAGCTCTATCCTCAAACAGAATATTTTACTTTGAAAAAAGATATTTATGGATTTGTTGCAGATCATTGGTATACATTTTCTACATTAAAACAATGTTTGTCATTCTTTTTTTCTTTTATTATGTATAAACAATTGTTATTTTGTTATTTAATAATCAACATTAAGTACTAATATTTTTATTAGTTTTAACAAATCCATCTAAATGGAAGAAATCTTTTCTTGATGCATTAAGTCATTCACCCTATTTTGAATCAGGGTATAGTGCTTATAAAACTACGGGGTATTGGAAATTAAGAGTTAAAGACAATCCTTGGTTAGGTAATTTACAACCAAAAGCCATAAATGTAATATACTCTGCAGATGACATCATACCTTGTCAACAAAAACCAATTGTTGTGATGTCATTATCAACTAAGAAAAGAATGGTAGATTTAAAAGATAATTTCCATGAGATTCAAATGAGATTAAGAAATAGCTATATTAAAATTTATGAATATACACAAAGTATGCTTGAAAAGTGTGACTTTGAATTACAAAGAAATATTAGTTATGATATGAAAATGCAATTATTAGCAAAAGTTGAAACCTTTAAAAATCTTAGAATGGGAGTATATTTTTTAATGAAAACTCTTAATGAAAATGAAACGTCCTATAAACAAAGTCAAAGTTGTAGAAATCATTATTCAGGATGTTTATTTTTCAATGTAATATTGAATTAATTTATGTTATTTCTTTTTGTTTTATCATTTCTAAAACAGTTACATAATCACATCATATTTAAACTAAAAATAAACAATTTAATAACGAAAAGACAGAAATCTTAAATACCAAAAGTCAAAACGAAACGAAAAGTTTGTTATTTTTATTTTTATAGATATTACCAAAACATGAAATAAAAAAACAAAAAGAAAAAAGAGAATTTTGTTAAACTGTAATATTTAAATAAAATGGAACGACCTTGTAACACCCCTGTTTTTAATGAAGTTGACTCAACACCGATTCCTCCAGAAATACCAGAAGATGAAGAATATCATTTAAAATTATGTTTATGTCCATTATGTAAACATGGAATGGAAGTTTTTGGAGTTAAACGACCAGTTTCATGGATATTGATTTGTCGAGTAATATTATATTCATTAATGGAACTACATAAAGGAACAGTTTATTTTTCTTTAAAAGATGATATTCATGGATTTGTTGCAGACCATTGGCATATTTTTGGACAATTAGACCAATTTAAAACCAATCCAAATAGATGGAAAAAAGCATTTCTTGATGGACTTAGTCATTCACCATTTTTTCAAAGTGGAACATTAACATTAAAGAGACCTAATTTCTGGAAATTAAGAAGAAAGGATTGTCCATGGGTTAAACAGAAAAAAAGTAGTTTAATAGAAGAAAATGATGATCAAGGAATTAAAGAAGGTAAAGAAGAAATACAACAAAACTCATTTTTTCAAGCCATTGGAGATTCACCTATGCCTGAATTTAATGGAATTCCAACAAGAGATAATGCAAAAGAATTCCTAAAAACATCAGTTGAAAATACTAAGTGTCAATTAGATAAGTGTCAAATAATTTGTCAAAATCTTAGTAAAGACCCACAATTAAATCAAAATATGAAGATGATTAACGACCAATTAAATTGGATTCATAATTCTCTAAATGTTATTTCTGCTAATATTGAAACAACATTGTTTTAAAGTATTTCAGATAATTATCACTTAAGAAAATTTAACATAGTTCCTCTCTCTATCATCGATTCTTTTTTCATTAAATTTTATTTCATTGTTTTTTATTTTATAAGTTAATTAAAAATATATTATTAAAGAAGTATAATTAAAATGACTAGCAACGTGATAATAATCTTTATTGATACTCCTTTACTTCTTGTATTATGATTTGGTGTAACAACACAAATACCATCAGTATTACAACTATACCCAATAGCACAACTATCACAAACTGGTTCACACCCAGCAATCCAATGAATATTATTAACTCCTATTATTGTAGAATTTGTTCCTGAACATTGTGTTTTATTACAACTAAATGCATTTATATCACAATATTTTGCAGTAGAATATAATTCACGTTCTATTAAATAAGAAGAAGTAATAAGAAATGATTCAGTATTAATTGTTGTAAAATTTAAAATAATTCCATTAAAATAACCTGTACATTTATTTATTGGAATATATGTTCTTATACTTAATTGATTTGATGAATAATATGTTTTACTATTTAATTTACTACATAAATTAGAAATTGATGAATTAAATGTTGTTAAGTTATTGTTTAAGAAATCATTTATAAGAACAAATGAAACATCATTTAATGTAATAATATTATTATTTTCAAATGTTAATGTAATATTAAATTCACTATACATTTCTCCAAATAAATGAGGAGTATCATAATATATTATTACAATTGTATTTTGATCAGTACTTATTACATTCCATCCATTTTCATTTTCATCAACAAATATTAAAGTTTCTGATGAATTAAAAGATAAAGCATTCCAGTCAAATTTAACACCACTATCAATAGTTGTATCAAGAATAACTGTATTAGGTGAATAAAAACATTGATTTTTAGTATATTCTAAAGGAATAATTAATGAAGAAGAATATAAAGTATTTAATTTTAATGAATGAATATTAAATGGAATAACAACATTACTAATAAGAATGACATCAATGTATAAATCTTTTCCAATATAAGAATAAGGAATTTCATAATGTCCATCATTCATTTTATATAATGTATTATTTATTCTAAGATATTTAGAAATAATATTAGTATCAAAGATGTGTATTGCTACACTTTCATTTTTACTTTCATTAGTAATTAATTGTGGAATTGTATTAAATCTACATGATTGTTGTTGTACAGAAACTTCAGTAATAAATGTAAATTCATCAACAATTTGTCCTGTAACTTGTTCAAACATATTTTCTTTTACTAAAACTGTTCTTTTAAAATAATCTATTATAAATGGATCATCTGTAGCATTGTCTATTTTAAAAAAACCAGAAATCATACATTGATGTGGTTTCATTGATGGTCCACTTAACCCTAAACATGAACCACATCTTCTTGTAGTAAATGTATATGTTTCTTCATCTTTTAATGACTCATGAATATAACATTCAGATTCAATAATTAATCCTTTAACAACATCTTTAGCATTTGGTATATTATCATAACATTCTGATTCAATTGAAATTCCAAATTCATTCATACGATCAATTAATCCTATTTTAAAAGTACTCTGTTTGATTTAATTTTCTTTCTTTTTTTATTTTCTTTTAATTGTATTTAACAAACAACACATGGTGAAATAAATGTTCCAATACAACATACAATACAATAAAATAAAAGAATCATTTATTATTTCTTAGAATAATTCTTTTATAGTTCATATTAATTTTATTTTATATTAATCCTTATAAAAACATTATTTATTATTAATTAATGATTTAATGGAAATAATTCATTATTCTTGACTGAAATTAATTAAACGACATTCTTTAATTTAATTGACATGTTTATCATTACTTTTTTAACTTTTCTTATTATAATAAATAATATTTCATTAAAAAATGTGTGACTTTTTAATGGATGAAGGTAAGTTACATTTAATGATATAAATAACAATTAAATAACAAAAAAGATTTAAAAGAAGAAAAAGTAAATTTATTAAAGTAATTTTTGATTAATAAAATGATAATTAATGAGAATATTTTTTTTAAATGTTAAGATAATCAGGGAGTAATGAATGTATAAAAACAAAATCATAAGTAAGAAATAAAAAAGGTATTGTTTTAATACAAAATAAATAAAAAAAAATAAAGAAGTAAATAATAAAAAACTAAAAAAGTAAAAGAAGAAGAATGGTAGAGACTGAAGCAGGAAGTTTTATATTTTTTGCAGTTGTTGATGATAGATTAGGATTAAAAGAAGGGACACAAGATGAAAAGATATTATATTATATAGCACCAGAAATGGAATTTGAAACATTAGTAATTAGTATTGGTCATATGCAAACAGTTATTGGAATTTGTCAACAATTTAATTCAAAAACAAAATACTTTAGAACTAAATTAACAGTTACTTTCTTTGTATCACCTCAAGAACATATTTATTATATGTTGAGAGTTGGTAGAACAGATGCATTAGATGAATATTTACCATTTTTATCACATTTAAGTGATTCATATTCAATGTTATATAATAATGATTATTCAATTGAAATGAAACCATTAATGGCAAATCTTTTTACACCAGTTTTTCAAAATTATAGATTTAATGAATTATTATCATTTAATTATTCATTCTTTGAAAGAGCTGTATTAACACATAAATCTTATTTATATCTTTCTACTATTATAGAACGTTCAAAACAAGAATATCCAGAATTAGCTAGTTTTGTTATTGTTTATAATAATTCTATTCTTCACTCTGATTTATCTCGTAACGATACATTAACATTATATCTCTTTTTATCAAAACTTATTCAACCAACAGAATTAGTAATGGCATCTCAAGAATTAAATTGTTTAATTCCTGAAATAAAAAATGGTTGGGTATTAGAACCACAAAAATTAGCACCAATATTTTTAACATTAAACAATAAAAAAGTACGAGTATTTATTAATATTTATATTAGAAAAGAAACTAAATCACAAATTTTATTTATTCCTATCTTTTATAAAACTATGACTGATTTCTTTGATAATAAAAAAGGATTTAATTGTGAAACTCTCTATGTTAATGCTTTAAAGAAAATTATTTCTCTTATAAATGATTCTAACGTTGTTATTACAAAAGAAAATTTACCTCTTCATCTCCATTTGTCTTTTTCAACAAATTGTCTTAAAACAAATTTGTTAATAAAAACAAAAAATCAAGGAGAATTTCTTTTTATTTTATTCATTCGTAGATTTGTTGAACTTCTTAAAAGTAATGGTTGTAAATTATCTGAAATATGGATTAACTCTCAAACATTCCAATGGGTTGCTTCAAAATTTGGATGTTCAAGAGAATTATTTTTATTTTCAAGAAATATACTTGAAGGTTCTTCATTAAAAAAATTAACAGAAGAAATGGATTTGTTAACTTCTCCAATTTTTATTTAATCGCCTTTTTCATTTAATTATAATTTAATAGTAAAAGAAATTATAAAAATAATATTTTGATTTTTGATCTTTAAAATTTTTATCTAATTTTATTTTAATTATGAGTATTAGTGAAACAGAATCAGAACTTCAATCTCATTCAACTACACCAGATGAATTAAATAAAGAAATTGATGAGGAAAATGAACATCAATCTTTTTTAGATAAAAATGAAATAGAACTTCCTTTATTTAATGATGAGTTAAAAGAAGAAATAACTGATTATTTCCATCCAAAATGTATTCAATGTGATAATATTTATTCAGGAGATAATATATATTTTAAACAAACAACTACAGTTAGTGAAATACCTTCATTTAAACCATCTTTAAGATATAATAAATCTCGTGGTAGTTATCATTAACATTTATTTTAATCAATGAATTATTCATTGGATAACCATTGATAATATAATTCAGTATTTAATAATTGACTTCCTCCAAGAATTACTTCTGTTGAACTTTTCATCTTTAATAATGTTTTGTGAAGTTCAATCTCTTCAAATGGTGTAAATCCACCATTAATCCAAATTATCATTTTATTTGAATTAAAATCTTCATTTATTGTTCCAAGAATAAGTTCAAATGATTTATTGAATATCATTTTCTTTTCTGCTACAATACGTGTTATTAATGGATGAAATTCTTTATCATTAAATAAAGGATTTAGTTGAAATAATGGAAGTATTTGATGAGTTGGTCCACATTTCATATTTATTCTTTCTGATAGGATATTCTTATTATTATCTGTCTTTTGGTTATATAATGTCATCATTAATGAAAGGTTTTGATTCACTTCTCGTGGAGTTTTTTGATTAATATGGAAATATTGTTGACATTCAAGTTCTTCTAAACTATATTTTTTATTAAATTCATCTTTAGCATCATTTATTATTGGAATTATTTTACTAATCTGTTCTTGGGTTGATACTCTTTTACTAAAATTGTTTATATTAAATAATTCTTTTGTAGTAATTTCTTTACTGGGATTTAATATCATTTCTTCTATTGCTTGACGTATTACTTGACTTGGTGAACATGCTTGTAGTTTTTGACAATAATTATTAATAAATTCTTCTGGAAGAACGTCATAATTTGAATTAATAAAAGGGTCTGCAAAATCAAATTGAAAAACCTTATTTTCTTGTTGTGGAAAATTAACGAAAGAATCATTAATTCCATACACTTCATTAAATAAAGAATACATTGATCTTGAGATATAAAGTGGTGTATATCCATCAATACTTCTATCTAATAATAATAAAATACATGGCTCACCTTCTTTTTTATTTAATCTCTTTTTTAAGTCTATTGCAAGTGTTCTTGTTTGACAACAAGAAGTTTGAGTAATTCTAATAGAATTAAATAATAACCAACAATAAAATAAAAATACACAAACATTATTGGATTTATATTATGAGCTTGAATGAATGATGTTAAAGAATCAATATCATTTGAAGCTGAAATAAATGAACGAGGAGTAACATATTTCCAATTAATATCAACACATTCAATATTATTAATAACATTATACCTATCAGCAATATTTAATTCCATAATTATGTTCTCATTTAATACTCCAGTTTGAGTAAAAATAATAGACTCTTTCCAATACACTTTGTCGTGTAAATGGTTCTTTAATAACTGAATATTATTATCATTAAATGTTAATATAAATATACCAATTCTATCTAATTGTGGTTGTTTATTGATTATTATATTTGAAAGAATTCTAAAACGTAATACTCCATATGAATTTAATTCATCTACTGATACAAATGACTTTAATATTTTTTCAGTTGTATTATCTAAAATGACATCTTTTATATTACATCCTTTTCTTTCATCAAAAACACAACAAAGTTCTTGAATAAGTTGTCTAAGTTGTTCAATACAATTCATAACAAAATTAAATACTTTTTTTAGTTTTTGTTTTTTTTTCTAAAAAAAACTTTTTTAAGAAAAAAAAAACTAAAAAGAAAAATAACAAAATGCAATCAGTTGAAGTAATAAAGAAAAGTTGTTTTAATTTACATCAATTTAAAGAAATTATTCAATACTTTTATAATAAAACAGATTATGAAGTATTCTCAATGATTAATAAACGATGTGGACAAGTATTATTATTGTTTAAAGAAAATCCAATTCCATATACAGAAGATATGAAAGTAATATTTCCTAATATTTGTATACAACATCTTTATCATTATGAAGAAGAACATGTTTTTGGAATGAAAAAATATATTTATCATTGTGAAGTAAGTTATTCTTATTATCATGAAGTTCATGGAAAAAGAATTGAGTTTAAAAAAGTTGTATTTAATGGATTGGATAGAATTCGTTATGGTGGTCAAATACCTGAAGGAATAACTGATATTGGATATAAAGCATTTAATGGAAGTAATATTCAAGTAGTTATTATGCCTGACACTGTTACATCAATTAATAATAATGCATTTGAAAATTGTAATAATCTTAAAACTGTTTATTTTTCAAAAAATTTATTATCAATTGGTGCTGAAGCTTTTCTTGATTGTGTTTCTTTAAAAGAGATTAATCAACCTACTACATTACAATTTATAGGTTATCATTGTTTTAGTGGTTGTATTAATTTGAAAGAATTACCAAAAGAAATTAAAAGAAGTAATTAACTATTATTTATTTTCAATAACAAACTGTTTCCATTGTTGTGGAGGAAGTTTTAAACAATACTCATAAAATCTATTATGATCTTCTTCTTTTAATCCAAATTCTTTACATAAGTAATTAAAATAAATCTTTCGACACTCTAATAATTCCTTTTGTTGTTCTTGTTGTTTAGTACTTAAGTTCTCTCTTTCAATATCTAATTGATGTATTACTTGAATAGTAATTTGATTATTTTTTTGTAACTCATTTAATTGGGTTTGCAATTCATTTACTTTATTTTCACATTGTTGATTTAATTCCATTGTTTTCGTGATTTATCTTTCTTTTTAAGTTTTGCTTTTAATAAAAACTCTCATTTCAAATCTTTTAAGATTTTGAAAAAAAAAAAACAATTACAAAATATCAAATAATAAAAATAGTCATGAAAGTGTTGATTCAATTCATTGATTCTGCGTTTTGTTGTAATACTAAAGTAATTTATTAATCTTCTAAAATAGTGTCACATCAACAACAACAAAAGAAAATGAATGAAATGAAAAAAGAAGGAAAATATTAGTTTATTATTTGAAGTAAAAAAAGCTCCAAAAAAATCATTTAAAAAAAAAATGAAAAAAAAAAGGAAATAAAAAAAAATCCATAAAAAAAAAGAAAAATCTTAATTGTTAAATCATATAATCAAAAATGAATATAGACGATACTTCACATGAAAAAGATGGTATTGTCGAATGGACTGAAGAAGAAATTCAAACGTTAAACCATAATTTAAAAAGTTTTCCAGAAGGAGATTATTCTGAATTTAAAAGACTAACATTATTATTAACAAAATTACCTAGAAAACGATTACGAGATGTATCTGCTCGACTAGAATATTATAAACAATTACAAACTAATCCAACATTAACATGGAAAGATTTCTATTGTGAACATAAATTAAATAAACAAAAAAGAATGGAATCATATTCACCTCGTTCTTCTTCAAGTGAAAATGATGACTGTCAATTAAAAAGAAAAAGAGGTAGAAGTCGCTCTAAGTCTAAAGAAAAACAAAGTAGAGATTCAAGAGAGAATTCTTCTTTAGGTACTGTTGGAGACAGTCCTCATGCTTCTCCTCTCCAGAATAAAGATTTATCATTTACTCCTCAAGTTAGTCCAGAAGGAACAATTAAATCTGAACTAACTCAACAATCACTAACTCGTTCAAAGTCTGGAATAAATGTTCCTCGTACTAAACAGTCTTTACCAATTAAAATGAGTGAGTATATTCAAGAAAATAAACGAACTAATGATATTAATGACTATAAAATTAAAAAAATTTCTGTATTAATCCCTCAATCCCCTCAATTACCTTTAAACACATCTTTACTCCAACTTCATTTTACCTCTGTTCCTTCAAATCGTCTTGACTCTCTTCGTTCGTTACTATTAAAAAATGAAAGAGTTATTGACCAATTATTTCAATATGAACTACAAACTTCTCAAATAGACTTTGCTTCTGTTCGAGAATTTTCTTCTACTACTAAGGCTATATTAGATATTACTGAACAAATGGCTCATCCACTTGCTCTACCAATTGTGTTCAATACTCCAATATCTCTGAGAGAAATTCAATCTCATTTGAATGAATTAGGGATGAAATATTAAATTGTTATTTAATTTTGTTATTCATTTTTCTTTTAAAAAAAATTAATAATAATTTTTTAATAATAAATTTATTATTAATAAAAATTATTTAAAAAAAAAACTTTTTTTTTGTTATCACTATGAGTTGTATACAAGAGTTTATCAAAAAGAACATTGAAGGTCAAAATGGAACAGTTACTTATATGGACATAGTTCTTAAATTTGAAAATACAACAGCAAAACAAGCACAAGAGTTTGTTTTAGTTTATTTTAATTAAAAAAAAAACAAAATACAAAATAATAATATTTTAATAATATTTTAATAATATTTTTTTGATAAAAGAAACAATCAACATAATAGTGAATTAAAACAATACCAAAAAGAACATAAAATTGAAAGTTGGGAAGTTGGAATTGAAGAAAATGAAAATGAATGGCATATTACAAATAATGGAGAATGTTATATGCTTTATAATAATGATTTTAAAGAAGAATTAAACCAATCAATGACAAATTATTTTAAATCAGGAAAGTCAGAAGCTGTCATAGCACCGAAGGTTATAACAACAACACACACATTTAAATCAGATTTATTAAATAAAGAAAAACCAAAAGAAGTAGAAAAGAAAATAGTTAATTCAATTATCAAAGTATCAGAAATTCCTGAAACAAAAAAACCACAACAACCTGATACATTAAAAAAAGAAAATGATTTAATAACAAGTGGTAAATCTCAAAAAAAACTTACAGCTTTCTTTAATGTATCAAAAAAGTCTGAAACAAATTCTCAAATTAGTTCAACTACCTCATCAAAGAAATCTAAAGTCAGTTTAGATAATTTCTTTAAAGTTAAAGCAAAACCTATTGAACAAAAAACAAAGAAAAGAACATTAAAACCAGTTAATTCAGATGATGAAGAAAGTAATTAATAATTTACAAATAAATTTATTCTTTTCTTTTATTCTCTTATTTTTTTTATTTAATTTAATTTATTAGAAGAATCAATAACATTTTTAATTAATAAATAACTCTTTGAAATGGAAAAAAGACTTTTATTGTTGTGAAATTTTTTGGTTGGGTTTAAGTTCAATTCAAATAGAAGAAAAAAGAATGAAAGAAATTAAATTAGCAGATTAAATTTTTTTAAAAGAAAATGTAAAAAAAGAACTAAAAAAGAGAGGAATTTACGATGTCTGAAAGTGAAGGTTTGAAATAATTTTTCTTATTAATATATTCAAATAAGTTAATTCATAGAATTTAAACAACAAACTATGACAGACAAAATTGCAAAAGAAGAAAATGAAAATGCTCGTGAGTTACGTGAAGTTGCCATAATTGGAAAACAAATAGCACAAATGGAAAATGCTGACATAAAAAAACAAAACGAACAAATAGATAGAGCACATCAAGACGCTAATGCAATGGCTACTGATGTTAGTAATACAAATGCACAATTACAAGAAGCACGTGCTTATAGCTGTGCTAGTAGAAAATGGTTAATTATTGGTATAGTCGTAGGTATTTTAGTAGTAGTAGTAATTATTGCCATTATAGCTATTATTCTTGGTGTTCTTTTAAGTTAAATGAGCGGTGTTTTTTTTTTTGTTTTTTATATTAAATTTTTTTATTATAAAATATAATAAAGTAAACTAAAATGAATAATACTAATAAATGATTAATTGATTAAGATGATTGGGGTACATGCTAGTAATTACCATTGTGATGATGTTACTGGTACTATTATGTTAAAATTTGTTAAAGAATTTAAAGACTGTCAATTAATTAGAACATTAGATATGGATATTTTAAATAAATGTACTTTGGTTTTCGATATTGGTGGAGTTTATGATCATAAAATCAAACGATATGATCATCACCAACGTGGATTTAAAGAAACCTTTTCACCAGCACATAATATTTTATTATGTGGTTGTGGATTATTATTTAAACATTATGGAAATGAAATTGTAAAAAATATTATTGAAGAATATCAACATGAAATTATCACAGAAGATGTAGCAGAGAAATTAAAGGTTCTTGTTTATAATTATTTTGTTATGCCAATTGACGCTAATGATAATGGTATTGATGTTTCTTATGGAGAATTATTATATAAAGATAATACTACTCTCTCTGCTCGTGTAGCTCACTTAAATGAAATAAAACAACCATTTGAAAAAGCACAAGAATTAGTTCAACCAGAATTTATTGAAGCAGTTTTAACTTGTTACCAAATTGTATCACAACATTTACCTTCTCTTCAACAGTGTTTTGAAACACGTTATTCTGTTCATCCATCAGGAAAAATCTTGGTAAACACACTTGCAGTTCCATGGAAAGAATCATTAAATTTATTAGAAACAATTGAAGAATCTAAAACTGGAAAGAAATGTGAAGTTTTATATGTTTTACAACCTGACCTTGGAAGAGGAACTCAATGGAAATGTACTGCTGTTTCTAAACCATTTAGTTATGGTTGTCTTAAAAATTTCCCAGAACAATGGAGGGGATTAAGAAATAAAGAATTAGAAAATGTGTGTGGAATAAAAGGAAGTATATTTTGTCATTCATCTGGATTTTTAGCATGTAATGAAACATATGAAGGAATGTTACAAATGGCAATTACTTCATTAGAATCAAATTAATTTTGATATTAAATTTTTTTTTGTTGTATATTTCAAAAATAATTTTTTTTTGTTTTTCAAAAGAAAATGAAAAAAGAACTTTCAAAAAAGAAATAATTATGGCATGTGAATTAAAAGAATTTTTGGTTAAGAATGATATGTATCCTATGGGAGATCAAGTTGAAAAGAAAAGAAAAGCAATCTCTAAAATGACTGAATACATTCAACAATGGGGGAAAAAAATATACATTGAAAGTGCAGGAGTTGCTGATGATACTGATGTAAAGGCTGCAACAATTTATGTTTATGGTTCTTATAGATTAAATGTATATGGAAATAATTCAGATATTGATGCATGTATTGTATCTAATTCAACAATTACAAGAGATGATTTTTATGATGGATTATATGCTGAGTTATTAAACAATCCTGATGTAAAAGAACTAAAACAAATTCCATCAAAACGATCACCACATTTATCAATGATTTATCTTAACATTGAATTTGATTTAAATTTTTCAAGAACGGCATATACTTCATTACCTGATAATTTAGACATTCTTAATGAAAATATATTAAAAAATATGGACGAACTTGATACTCGTGCGATTAATGGTGTTAGAAATACAGACATTATTGATGCATTTGTTCCAAACCATTCTGAGGAAGCATTTAGAGTAATGGTACGTACTATTAAATTATGGACAAAAAAGAGAGGAATATATGGATATGTTTATTGTTTTTTAAATGGTATTTCAATAGAAATATTAGTTGCCCAAGTTATTAGTGAAAATTATCAATTAGATAATGTTCGTTTGTTAGAAAAATTTTTTCAAGTATATTCTTCATGGGATTGGTTAAGAACTCCAGTTATGCTTGGTACTAATGATGATTTTAATGATAAAAAGAAAGAAGGCATTATTCAAATTTTAACGCCAGCATCTCCTAGTGAAAATGCTGCTTTTAGTATTACTAAATTCTCATTAGAAATGATTAAAAGGGAATTAAAAAGAGGACAAGAAATAGTTCATGAATTTAGCTCTGAAGGTGTTAATGATTGGGCAAAGTTGTTTAAACCAAGACATCTTTTCTGTGGGTATTATATTTTTATTGAATTTATTGTAACTTCTTCTTCATTAGAAGGACTTACAACTACAATTGGTAAATTTGAATCAGGTTTGGTTAATCTAATGAAGGGTTTGAGTGAAATTGAAGAGATAATTGAAGCAAATGTAATTCCAAATGGATTTTTAGATGAAGAAAATGAAAGGTACTTTTATTATGTTGGAATGAATGTTAAAAGAGATTGTCCAGTTGATATATCCACCCCACTAAATTCTTTTTTGAGTATCGTTAATTCAGGAAAAGATTTAATTGTTGATGCTTCAATTAAAAAGAGGTCTGAAATACCTACTAAATTTGCTCATGCTGTTAAAAGGTCTATCACAAAAAGTCAAGAAATTAAAGAAACATCTTCTCAAATACCTTCTTCGGCTATAACAGAAACATTTGATATTCCAACTAAACCTTCTATTGAACAACAACTCAAAGCAAAAGAAGAAAATTCTATTCCTAATGAAGAAAAGAAAGAACAACTTAAAAAAGAAATGAAACAAGAAGCAAATACTATTGTTAAAAATTCCTCAACTGATGATGATTTTATGAAAAGATTTACAAGAAAAAATTGATTTTTAGAATTTAATATTTTTGTTATTTG